AGTTTCGTCGTAATGACCAACTCTTTGTGTCCTGGGCTAACCCTCAGAAGGGCAAGCCTGTTACTAAGCAACGGCTCTCTCACTGGATTGTGGAGGCAATTGCTTTGGCTTACACGAGTCAGGGTCTGTAGGCACCTTCGGGTTTGCGTGCTCATTCTACTCGTGGTCTGGCTACATCCTGGGCTTTGTTCAAGGGTGTCTCCATCCAAGACATTTGTGCAGCGGCGAGCTGGTCCTCACCGCTCACTTTTGTCTGCTTTTACAGGCTAGACGTCTCTGCTCCCAGTGTGGCCCGCGCAGTGCTGGGCCCCGTGTTGAGTCAGAGGTTTACCTGTTAGGTTCTGGTTGGTCTTGGTGATTTTCGAGATAAGCTCGTCTGGCAATACGGGAGCTACAATATCCCATAGTGAGACATCGAACGGAGTGTTACGAATGAGAACTATAGGTTACTTACGTAACCCCAGTTCTCAGAGTAACATGTAGTGAGATGTCTCACCAGACGGCCCTCCTTGCTATGGTGAAGCGAGAAGAGGTGCTTATTTTGAATGACTAATGCGGCGTAGCGCAAGCTACTTATAGGGGGTGGATTCCCTGACGCTGACGTCAAGATCACCTGCTAATCAGGATTGGCGTAATGAGATTGATGCTTCTGTTTGCTCCGCGGATGAGGCGCATCCCATAGTGAGACATCTCACTTCATGTTACTCTGAGAACTGGGGTTACGTAAGTAACCTATAGATTCTTTTGAGTCTGCTGTTGTGATGCTCTTTGGTTTGTGTTTTTCCTTTTAGCTGTAAATGTTTGTATTTGATCAATGAATTTGCTCTTTGTGTGTTGGATGTGCAATTGGCCAAGTGTAATGTTAACATATCAGCCATAAGCTGTTGCTATAAAATATAGTGACTGAGTATCCGTCTATTTTTCATGATATATTGCTGCCTCGTTGTGGCCCAAAATGTATTCACCGTTAATTATTTAGGGCAACTTTTAACAACAGGGTATTGACTTACTGTACAACACATTGCTTTTGGATGACCTAAAAGGCATCCATATTGTACATTTCTTACAGTGGGCTCATGCTGGGGAGTCTTTAGGACCAGAATGAAGAAATGGATCTAACCCTGTGACCCTCTCGAAGCACATATGAGTGAGTACAAAATCAATCAAGTACACAAACCTACTTTATCCTCTAAGCTTTGATACAACCTGAAGGAGATTGTGATGCATTTTAAATGTCAGGTTTGTAGTCTTGGCAATATGTCACGTTTGCTGTGTTGGTCCTCTATTTAAAAAATGTAAACATCAGATTTTAATTCAAAGCATTTGCTCTATATTCAACAGTACATGAGGGCCATTCTGTAATGCTGGAGAGCTCTCAGTTCCAGCAGGGGTGAGCTTTTTAAGTTGCCTAAAGGAATAGCAATCTGGTTTTCAGATGATTTTATGATGGAAGATAATTTTCTGTTGCTGGTATACAGTAGATGAGCACAAACTTTCAATGTACAGTTAAGTTTTATTTTCTTTCTTTTTAGTTTTCCTTCGTGTAAAGCAAACTCAAAAATACTTGAACAACAATAAGCTGCAGCATTTTTGTGATAAACATTTGTGCTACTGTCTGTAATTTGGTCTGAACCCTCACAGGATCAATTAGTCAGTTTGATCATAACATGTTTAAGCATGACTGTTTCCCCTGGGGAAAAGCCTGGTTTCAAAAGAAAAACTGTTCAGGTCTCTCCTGAGGGCAAAGGAGAAGTTACAGTTGAGTAGCTTTGAGGTGCGATTCCCTCTGGTCAATCTGCTGCGGGGTTGACAGACCTGTTTCTAATAGAAGGAAGTCAAGCTGTCATGATGATTGCTTTAAGTTCTCTTTACTAAAGTTAGTATTCAGGCAACTTAGGAAGACTTGAGATAAAAAAATACTTCACAGCACTGTCACTTTTGTTCACTACTACGACTACTCTTGCTATTTCTGATACTTTTGCTAATAAGACTGACAACACGAGTGCTATTTTATTTACAAAAATTATTACTACTGTTACTATTACTGTTTGAAGCGTTCTATTTCTGATTGAATAAAAACTCTAATTTTTTCTATAATTCCAATTAAATTCTACAGTAACAATATCTCGAGGATTATACCTTTGAAATCTTAGGCCATAGCCAACAGGAAAATAAGCTGTAGTTGGTTAGCTAAAATGTTCATTAAATAGTTTGGCAAAAAAAGAACTTTCACAGATGCATTGCGATTCACGTTTTGGGGCATTGTCTCCTCAGTAGAGCGCCCAAAGTACGCTCTGAGAGTGTGCTGACCTAAATAACCGAAAGCTTACTAAATTGGTATTCCCTATATGTGTATACCAGTACAGTGAATAAGACGACAAGCTTATGTATATTTTACACAACTGCATACGTTACTTATTAGTTATCAATATATAGTGATAGAAAGTTATTATTGTTAATGTTTAAATTAATGTTAAATAAAAAAATACCAGCACTTTGATCTTATTCTGAAATCTTGAAGAAGTAACCAAGTCAATTAATTTTCTTAACAAATGAACTGCATACATTCATAAATAATAAAGGTATTAGTTGCAGCCCAACTGCGCTGTCCCTACAGTCCTGTGTCAGGTTGATTTTCTCAAGAGGCTGATCTCCGAGTTTTTTTTTACAGAATGTAAAATAGTGTAATGACCCTGCAGGCCATGTGGATACATGCGTCATTTTGCCTTCTATTTATTTGCAGAAGACACATTAACACCTGTAGTATACCCAGGGAGCCAATTTAATTAATTTGGCGACTAAACCTTAATAATAAATCCCTACAGATAATAATCAATGTAATAGTTTGTTTGTAGATGTCTAAAGGCTCTGGAGCTTTAATAGTCTCTTGAGTAGGTTCTGTGTTTAAGACACAGTACAGTGAGCCAACTTAAACTAATAAGTATAATGAATGTACATACCCCAGGAATTTAAAATGGGCTTTCTCTGAGGCCGGGTTTATTCAATCTCCCTCTTGCTTTACTGTTCTCGTTGTTCTATTATTTGCCTTTACCTGCTACATCGTTACATTTCACATACATAATGATATTATAATAGATATTCTCACCGTGTAATTATCTTTCAAAAGCATCAACGCGCAACAATTTGCAACAATATTCAAGGGTTTGGTCAGAAATATTGTGATATATGATTGAATTTGTAACGCCCAGCCGTAATTTCCAGGATAAACAGGTGAGTTATACTTTTATTTATTTTCTCTTTAGGTTTGGCCTAAGATTTTAAATCATCATTAAAAATATGCTGCTTTAAATGTGTTGTCATAGAATATAAAAAATGAATCCTGAGCATTTATCTATTGTGTGCATGGCATTGTATCTTGAAATGCTTCGCTAGTTATTTAGGTCTCTATTCATACTTAATGAAATGTCATTGTGTGAAGTGAATGTCAACTAAGCAGGGCAACACGGTAAGATTACATTTTTTACCCTCATATGTGATTTAAAGTCTGTATAGTAAACGTTATTGGTTAGTTGAACATTTTTGTAAATAGCTTTATTGAAGATCAAAACCACTTGTGACTCATGACTGGGCACTACATGTCATTAGTGGAAGTAAGAGAACCCAGCAGTGTGAAGTTTAAATACAACTCAACTAACATAAACTTAAAAAAAAAGGTATATCAGGGGTGTTTAATCCATGCAACTTAACCTAGAAATGTTTTTACTTGAGTATCACTGGAATTGTTTCCGACACAGTAAGTCAATACGTGTATTTCCCGAAATAAATTGTGTCAGATGGCAATGGATGCCATCAAAAACATCGATTTTTGGTATTTGCGAATAGTTGAAGATGAGAGGATTTTTTTTTTTTTTTTCTTGAATCAATATTTTTCACTTTAATCCTAACAAGCCAGTATTTTATTTTGTAGTTAAAGTAATCAAGGAAGTTAAAACTTTCTTGCTTCATAAGGCAATTTTCATCTTGCTGTATTCCAATTTACCTAACATGACCCGCTCTCTCACTTGATTCCCATAAATGATGTTTACCTAACTGTTCTGGATGTGTCATCATCCTGCAGGAGCAGTGTCAACAAACATCTCATTAACAGCCTCATTAGACAGAGCTGTTTCACGTTCAACAAGGGAATGCAGAACTGTCGAGGTTTCAAGTTTTTACTCTCGAGGACTGCAACAGTGATACATTCACAGTTCAAGTGAAAAACAGCGACACAAACTGTTATTCCTTCTGACTTCATGGAGTATTTACAGTATTTATTATGTTTTTTTACTTCATGAAGTATTTAGATTATATATTATGTTAAAAGCAGCATGATCAGATGCATACTATAAAACACACTTTCTTTACATCAATAGTATGTTTCAGCAGGATGAATTATATGATATTGTCTACAGCATCTTCAACTTAGCTTTGATAAACATTTCACAGTTCAAATATGGCAATACATTTTTGAAACTCAAAGAAGAAAGATTCTTTAAAAGGTTTCTCCATGTAGTTTTATATAAGATCAGGTATTCCTATTCCTCGATCTGTTATGTTGAGGTTGTACAGAATAAAGACTCTATCAGCATGTTGCTAGAGTTACATCAATCACTAAATTACTTTGATATACTTGAATTGCTTTTCAACATTAATCAGCCAAATTTCGACCATAAATAATGACCTGAAATATTCCCCCTCATAGGGCCCCCTCATCCCAGGGGCATTGCAGTAGGCCTTCTAACAAGACTTTCCTTCTGTAAGTCTGTGGTTACTAACAGCTATTTCTGTGACCACGGCCAGATATATCGACTGGCTTGCAATTACCTTATGCCCACCTCTGTCATTAGTGTGTTATTAACAGTTTTTATTCTTTGGCCACTGACATTTATTCTGTTTAGTTATTTATGCATTGGCTATGCATTGTCTAAAGTTGCCACAGTTCAGGAAAGAGTGAAGGCCTTTAAAACCTGCACAGCTCATCTTTCGTTGGTGGTAATCTATTTTGTCCCAATATTAGTCACCTTTACCATGGACTCAAAAATATCTCCAGATGCCAGGATCCAGTGGTGTAGTGGGCGTTGGACGCAGGGGTACGCCGTACCCCCACTTATTTGGAGCATGATCTTTTTTTTAATAGTCTAATACATATAAAATCATTGCCAGTGTTATCAGTTGCAAGTGTGTATTTGTTGTAATAATGACAAAAACATAATATATTTCACAGTAATTATAATAAAAAATAAAAACGATTTCCTTAAAAATTATGATTCGTCATCATGCTCGTGACCCCGGTGAGCTGCGACACACCCACGGCCAGCTCGCCGCCCGCCGATTTTGCTGCAGCTCTTTCCCTCAAGAACACTAACGAAAAAGCTCTATAAGTGCAGGCAAACATTTTTTGCTTGACTTCTTTTCTAAAAAGAATATAATTCACAAGAAGAAAGAGGCTAGCAGCACCGAAGCTACAAGTGAAGCTGCTAGTAGTATTACATACCAGAAGACGTGGATAATGCTAGCACTAACGTTAACGTTGCAACGTTCCCCCGGCTAGCTCAAGCTCACCTTTCCCAGAGGTATGGACGGAGGAGATGTGGCGGAGGAAACAAGAGGTCATACCCGTGGATAGACAGATAGAAAAGCAGCGCTGTCTGCTTATTTGCAATGTAGGCTAGGCCTAATCAGAATAATTTCAAGTCCAGATTCAATGGTGTTTGCATAAGTAGGCTATATTGTTTGGGATGACCTAATTAAAATAGCATCCCCCCCAGTAAAAAAATCCCCACTACACCACTGCCAGGATCCTAAACCTGTCTCTGACCTCTGTCTTTCCTCCCATGCTGAACCCAATAATTTATGTTTTGCAGACACAATAAATCAAAGAATCTATGAATAAAATATAAAAAGTCAGAAATAAGTAAAAAGTTACAGTGAAAAGAGTTATAATAATATATTTTTATATTTAAATATTTCGGACGTTGTGTTAATGCCACTAGGTTAATTAAAGTTTTTTTTAACATCCTGGACATATTCGAAAATAAAATTATTTCCAACAAAAATAAAATGTTATAAATCACTCTTCACAAAAATATTTAATTGATATCCTCACAATTACTTTGGGACCAGATGTTGGCCCCTTTCTCTTGCTCACGATAATTATTCAATTATGATCAGTATACCTTACTGGAATGGATATTGCCTGTGAACATAAATGGCTAAAATGAGTAGATATATGATCAATATAAGTTGCACTTTTTGACCCATCTTTCGTTATGCATATCCTAGTAGGTTTAGTCACCATTTGTATATATATATATATATACAGTATACACATATATTTGTCTGCAGCTTGTCTTTAAGGGCACACTGCAGCATATTCCAGTCAATGTTTGAATCTCCGATCAAATAAATGTCTCTGTCAAGATCACAAACTTTATCTAAAATGTCAAATACGTTGTCTCAATAAATTAGGTTTGCATTTGGAGGTCTGTTACAACATCCTACCAACAAAGGTTTCAAGTTTGGTGAATTCATTTGCAACCAAAGTACTTCAATATCAGCAGACATCAAATGATATCTCACTTTAGCTGGTATTTGCTTTTGAATGTATACTGCCACCCCACCTCCATATGCATTCCTGTCCTTTCTAAATATACTATATCCATGAATGTCCACTGCAGCGTCATTAAAGGTGTCATCTAAGTGAGTTTCAGATATTCCTAACAACTGAATACCACATGATAATATTTAAACCCAATTTAAACCCTTTACTTGGTAACTTATTTGACATTAAGATGGCAAATTAAATGTTATCTGATTTTAACTTCCTTTCAAATTGAGAACTAAAACATACATGTAACACAATTTCAACCACACACACCATCACATACATAACCCAACATTTAACTGCACATAGATTGCTATACATGTGCATACTCACTCACTCAATTAGACGAGTCTCCCGGTATCTCCCAAACATTTTTAAATAACATTTATTGTATGAAATAGATTAATGGTAATATGAAAAGTGGTTTGTGTGGATTAAAAAAATAAACTATATAAAGCAACTATAGTGCTTTCAATTTTTGTTGGGAATGTGGTGTGTCGGTAGAATGAGTTCTAGATTGGGGACCAAATGAATACATGGCAGAGACTAACTCCCCAAAACTTCACGTGTTACTTATCCATGTTAA